TGAGAGGCCTGGCGTTACCAACTTTCCTATCATATATGGGACAAATATGCGGGTCATCTCGTTGGGCTGCGGCCCAGAGTAGGCACTGATCGCTTTGCAGAGCGATAGTGGAGATGGCGATGCCCGTGCATGACGGGCACTCGCCGTGGGGGCGATGCGGGTTCCTCGAAAGGGCATCGGCCTTACCATGTTGGCGACCGGGTCGGAACACGCACTCAAAGTCGTATCAAGTTCAGTTCAGTTCAATTCAGTTTATTGAGGTAAATGTAGGTCTTCACCTTTGAACTCCCCATTTGTGTACATGCAACTGCAAAATCTCAAAAACTCGAAAAGGTATCATAAAGGTAACAAATAATCGGAAAAGCATCAGATCTGTGCAGACAAACAAACTGTCTGGAATGTTAGTGGTAGGAGCAGTTGTAGAGCGGTCGTTTCGAGTGCAGGGAAATAAATCATATATCCCGTGACAAAATTTGCATAGGTGCATGTCGGCAAGCGTAGGCGATGGGTTAGGGACAATAAGAAATTTAATTTGAAATGTTACGGAAATATGGCAAGTAGTATTATAACAGTGGGATTTGTCAAGTTTACAGAGGTAGGGTAGTAATTTAGTGGACACTGCTATATAAATCCAGCTTCCTCTTAAAGACCTCGACGGAAGCAGACATAATGACATCCACAGGTAGGGCATTGCAGGCTTCTAGAACTCTGTTAGAGAAGAAGAACTTTCGTGTGTCCAGTCTGGACCCTGTCACACGTAGTTTGAATGGATGGCCTCGTAGATTTGTGGTGGTTGTTAACTCGAAGAAGTCCCCCCCGGTACGAGGCTGCAGTCCCGACCGCCTTGCTGCCTCCTTTATGCAGTGGTGTGATCCGCGCAGATTTCCAGTCGGCGGGCAAGCAGCCAGCTTCGAACGAGGCTTGGAAAAGCATGGACAATGGGTTGGCTAGTTCGGCAGCGAGCTCCTTCAGTAACTTAGGCGGTATGTCGTCTGGACATGGTCATTTCGACTCATTTAGCGTCATTAGCTCTTTGCGAACCGTTGCTTCATCAAAAGATACAGACTCAATTTTTGGATCCTCATCGAAGTCGTAGTCGGGAGGAGTAAATGCATTTTCACTAGTAAAGATGGATTTGAAAAATTGTAAAAAGTGCTCAGCTTTTTCCCCATCCTCACTAATCTCTACGTCTTTGCTTGTCTTCAGAAGGGGTATTGGATCTCTATTTCGTGTGCTGCTTCTTATGTAGCTGTAGAATAATTTTGGATTTTCCATAGCACGATTCAACAGGTCTTTTTCAAAATTTTGCCGTGTCCTGAGGGTAAGACGCTTGACTAAGTTTCTCTGTGTTTTGTATGCGTTTATGGATACAGGAGTCCCATCAGTAAGAGACTTCTGCCACAATCCCCGCTTTTTATTTATTTCCTTTTTAACGCCTGGGTCAGCCACCGGGGTCGATTGTTTAGCCCCTTCCGTGAAAGCGGGCAGTGCTTTGTCAGGAGAACGTGCAATAATTCACTGAACCATTTTCAATCCTACGCTATATTTCCGGGAAACGCTGATTCCCAGTCCGTATTGTTGATTTCGGCCTTCATTTGATCGAAGTCCCCACGCCAAATATTTCTTCTAATTTTGGTGGGCTGTTCAGGCACGGAAAAGATTGAATAGTCCCATTGAAGTACGACGTGATCGCTTCAACCTAAGGGAAGCAGACACTGTACCTCATCTATGCTGCCCATCGATTTCGTGAGCATCAGATCCAAGCAGTTTGACTGCTGCCCCCCTCACGGACCCTCGTGGGAAATAGGACGTGCTGTGTGAGAAATGACCTGAGTGCCATGTCCAAGAAGCGCCGGTCGAAAGCTAGTTCTGGGCCGCGCGCGTACAGTGAGCTCCAGTCAGTGAGCGGTGCGCTGAAGTCGCCCATGATCAGGACGTCAGGCCGGAGAGCAAATCGTCCTAGCTCCTCCAACAGACGAGCGTCAGCCTCGGGGTCACTCCTCGGTGGTCGATAAACGGTCAGACCTTCAAGGCTATGTGATCCTGGTACCCTTATAGTGAGCCAGATAGTCTCGGTGCTGCATGCAAACTGTTCTGTTTTTTGACACAAGCAGGCCGTGTTTTACGTAGGTGACGACTCCTCCTCCCTGACTCTCTCTCCTGTCTCTTCGAAACAACTGAAATCCTGGTAGCATTAATTCGCGGTCATCCACCTTTTCAGACAGCTAGGTTTCTGTCAAAGAGACAACGTCAGGGGATAGGTCACAGATGTGGATCTTCAGTTCGTCTAACTTGGGCAATATACTCTGCTTTTTGGTGTAAAAAATGTTAGTTTCAGTGTTTTGGGGCGTTTGATTATGGTGCCGCTTGAGATCCCATTTAAGAAAGCTCTTGTGCCCTCATCCGGATCGGTTCGGTCCAACGGATTAGGGGGAGGGCGCTTCAGTATCTGGTCGTTGTAGCTCACGAGATCCGTCACGCCATTCTGCAACCTTGTTCTCAGTTCCAGAACTAATTGTCGACGCTTTATTCTCTCTGACAGTGTGTAGTCCGGCTGAAAAAAAAACGCCGCGGTTGGTGTCTTTGATTCGGAATCGTCGTGAGAGAATAAGTCCTACTTGTTCTTGGTTGGCTAACACAATCTTGAATGGACGGGGACGTGAATGCTCTGATATTTCAATTGAGCGCTTTCCAAGCCTAAAGGCCTTGAGAACCGAAACTTCCTCATTGGAGCGCAGAAGTTCGTTGAGTAGGCACAGGAAGAGTTGCAGGTCTGCCGAGACCCGCTCTTTGGAGGCACTAGCTGTGGATTCGGGAAGTCCCTGAATAATCAGACATTGTCCTCTGACCGGCGACACTCTCGAGAACACAGTGGTTTCGTGCTCCGACAAAGGTGATATGTGGTTGCCAGGATCTGACGAGAATATAAGCTGCGGTCGATTAAGATCCTCATTCGTCTCTGCTTTGTTTGCATTTTCATCAAAGTCCGCCAACTTCTCTTGCCAGCGAGCTACTTGCCCTTCAGGATTCCTAAAGTTTCTTAGCCAAGTCAAAGAGCTGTGGTCGGTGTGTACTATGAATGATCGGTACTGGAGATAGGGTCGGCACTCCTCAACAAAATGCGTAAGTGCGAGCATCTCTTTGCGGGTGACACAATTGCGCCGCTCGGCTTTGGTCAGTGTGCGACTAAGGTACTGAATGACACGTTCGGTGCCGTCACGTTGTTGCTGAGACGCGACGGCGCTTATAGCCGTGTCGCTGCATCGGTATCCAGGACGAGCTTCCCGGCATCATTACTTATATCAGGAAAGACTAGGAATGAGGTGGAGCATAGTTTATCCTTCAGCGTCTGGAAACTGTTTGTGCAGTCAACAGTCCACTTAAACTTAACGTTTTTCTGGGTTCGCTTGTGGAGCGGCCCGGCAATTTGGGCGTAGTCCTTAATAAATCGCCTGTAATAGGAGGCGAGGCCTAGAAAGAGGCGGACCTCCGTCCCGTCTGCGGGGGTGGGCCACTCACGGATTTGTGTGACCTTTTCGTCATCAGTCTATATCTCCGCGGCCGAAACTACATGGCCTAAGAACTTTACGCGGGGCTTTATGAAGACACATTGGGATGGCTTCAGGGTTAATCCTGCCTGTCGGAGACTGCTAAACACAGCCCTGATATTATTAAGGTGGCTATCAAAGTCCTTTCCAAGGACAATTATATCATCCATGTAAACTAAACACGAGGTCGGTATTAGCTGTACAAGGATCTGATTCATCAACCTCTGAAAAGTGCTGGGGGCATTGGCTAGGCCGAAGGGCATCGCCTCGAACTCATGGAGACCAGAGGGGACCACGAATGCAGTCTTTTCCCTATCAGAGGGACGCACTTCAACTTGCCAGTAGCCTGAAGCTAAATCAGGCGTCGAAAACATAATATTGTTAACGAGGGCGTCTAAGGTGGTATCTATCCGTGGAAGAGGGAAAGAGTCTTTCTTAGTCGCAGCATTTAGCTTCCTATAGTCAATGCACAATCGCATTGAGCCGTCTTTCTTTTTCACAAGTACAATGGGAGATGACCAGAGCGACTGAGAGGGCCTTATGATATTACGACTAAACATATCATTGATAAGGGCATCTAGTTCCTTCTGGTAAAATATTGGAAGTCGCCTGGGGGGAACCCTAATGGGTCTGGCATCCCCCGTATCGATGCAATGCTCCGTCACACCCGTCCTCTCCGTGGACTTGCCACCCCAGTCAGAGATATCTTTAAATTCGTTTATTAACTGGCTGAGCTTCCGGGCGCTGCCTTCGTCGAGGTGTGCCGGAACTAGGTCCTTAACATCAACACTAACCGCGCAAGTGGGTACCCTCCGTGGCTCAGGGAAACTGCGAAGAAAAGGCACACTGACCGTGACTACCCGTAAAGCACGCTTACCGAAGTCAAGGGAACATCTAAACTTATTCAAAAAGTCAACACCTATTATACAGTCCCAAGTGATATCCGGGGACACGATAAATTGGTGGGTAAAACTAAGACCTGTGAGGTCAAGAGAAAACTCCACAAGGCCAGCATGCCTAAGATGAGTGCCATTTGCAGAATGAAGTCTAAAATTAGGCCTAATCTTCGTTTGAAACTCTAAAAAGAACAACCAGCGCCTGAGTCTACTAGGCATGAAAGACTAGTGCTGCCTACAAAGCCTTCTACTAAAGGGCAAATAGTAGGACCGACGCATGAAACAGCTGAATCAGAAACAATGTAGTACTTGCCGCCGTGTTCCTCCGTACTGACATCAATGGCCTGAACGGGGCGGCGAGTCTGAGGTCCTGGGCCTCGACGGGGCGGTTTCCGACGCCATTGGTTTTGTCGGGGGTAGTAGGAGCCGCAGGAACAGGGGCGCCAGGGCGTTTGAGTAGCACAGTCGCGGGCCGACTGCGGCTGGACAGCAGCGACGCCGAGGAGAGGTTGAGCTGGCCGATCGCAGACTGCCTGGAGGGCCTCCTCTTGACGTGTCAGGTCGAGGGCTTTGTCGAAGGTAGCCGTTGCGCCCGCATCAAGGCCTTCCGGATTTCAGGGTCCCTGACACCAGCGATGAACTGCTCCAACAACCGCTGACTGAGGGCTGCAGCATCCATGGTGGGAAAAGCCCTCCGTCCCAGGAAACGAAGGGCCTGCTCCTGGACGCTGCCGCGAAACGCGGACTGCAGAATCCAAGGGTGCACAGACGTCCCGAGAATTGCGCGAAGGCGATTCGGGATGTCCGACGCCGACATGGAAGAGGAAATGTCTGCTGTCCGTGCGAGGTCGTAAACTACGTCCTCCAGCAGGCCCAAGATGGTTCCGCTTTGCGCCGAAGCATCAACCCCGTGCAGGTAATCCAACACTCTGGCTTCCCACCGACCGAAGTCAGCGCCCAGCGATGATTTTTCGGCATGGGTGCAGACGGCTGCTGCAGGCCCAGCTTATGCAGCTCCTTAAACCCGTTTGCCCACTAGGTTATCCGACACAGTGGTCACCGCTGCTACCAATTTATAACGAGCCCGAATGTCAGTACGAGGAACGGTCCAGGAAAGTAAGGCTTCGGTAACTTCTATGTACTTAAACGCCTATGTACAACAACAGACTAAAGAGGGGAAACCTAATTACAAAAATAAACTGGGGCAAGGAGAGGTTGTCCAGCGGGATTGGCGGAGGCACGGGGATCCAACAAAGACAGCGACAGAGGTCCCACGTCCGAAGGTTGGCGGCCTGCCACGCGGTTGTCGGAGGTTAATCCTCGCCCGTATTTATAGCTTCTCCAGAGCAGAAGTCGACAAGGTTGGGTCCGCCAGTGTTGATTTGTTGAGGGTAGGTCAAGGGTGGAAGGTTACAAACTTAGGCCAGGGCTATATTGCTTAATTTTAGGGTTATAATAATTTATTATATGCATACTTTTTGTAAGAGGCCAAATTGGGACTAAGTGCCTGGCGTATATATATGGAAAAAATCGGCGGGCACGCCCCTAAAGAGGCGCGCTTTCTAGAACCTTATCCAAAGATGGCGGCCGCATGTTGTCGGGCATTCTAGGACTTCCTACAGGCTGCAGTCGGGTTCCATTCAGAATGATCCCGATTTTGCGGAATGAGGTCGCAAAGAACGTCAAATATGAATCGTTCAAACTTACGGCGTGGACTAACAATCCCATGGGTTTTGTCCAAGTTTTTAACTTCCTTAACCTTCTCTGTAGGAGTGTAAAACTGTGGCGATGGGCGTATTTTAGTACTCCAGGCACTGCTCCACCAGGCTCAGCGCGATAAAATTCTAACGTGACCACATAATAACAGCCCGAATTACCCTTTACTACATGAGTTGTCAACGCGAATGACGCAGGCAAAATGCAACCATCCGGGCTAATCCCGGACAGACTTTAGACGCCTGTGTGATTAGATGCAGAGGTAATCAGCAGGTCTATTTCAGTCAATAGCGCAACTTGGGCAGCCTGGTAAGATACCCACGGCTGAGAACACAGTTGTACCGCACATCAGGAATAAATCCAGAACCGCTGCCAACAGCCTAGTCCTCC